GAGGCTCAATTTTATTGTTATTTTTTAAGAATGGTGACAATGTGCTTTTGTTTGGAAAGAAAATCAAATTATGCTGGAATAAAAATGCCAAAGAATGTTGCATTTGGTATTATTCTCGTTTTGGTGATTTTTCTTATTGAGTGTGCATTGAAGAAAACTTTTTTTGTTTTTAAATTGGAAAGCTTTCCTATTATGATAATTGCAAATAATACTTCACTAAGCAAATCAAAATTGCGTATGAGACAATGGTAATTTTGCACTGTGGTTTTGGCATCAGCTTTGTGTTGAAATATTTTATATTCGAAATGACTTTGATTCAGAGCTGTGCTTTTTGGTTGTTATTCCTAAAAATATGTAGTTTAGGTACAAATGTTCACAGATGTTCCAAGAATGATTTATTAAAATGGTTTCAGTACAATTCCCTTATGCAATTAAATGCCTATTCATGTGTTCTTTTCACAATGAAATACTGTTAACAAATAGCTCTAATACAATAGCATAACAGTTAAGGGGAAACTTGGGTGCAAGTGGCTAATAGATATGAGTTGGGCAATTTTTCCTAAAAAAAACAAACAATTTTTATTTTTTCACTCTGATTAAATTTAGAAAAGACAGAATGGTACAATAAAACATTATGTTTTTAACCCCAACACATAAGCTTACTTAATAGATAGATATTTGTTTTCCTTATTGTCATTAATTTTGAAATTCAGGAATTTTACTCAGATTTGTCTTAATGAGTCTCTTATGAATTTTCTTTAGTGACCTCCTAAATGGTTTTCTATCACACTTAGAAAAAAAATCAGTATTGTTAGTGAAATTGTCATAGTTGCTCAACATTGTATAAATAATTTGGATTAATTTTATTTTTTATTTTTTTAAAGATTTATTTATTTATTTATACAAGCACTGGGTACAGTTAGAAGCATGGAGGGTGAGAGAACTCACCAGAGCCAGAGCGGGGAACAGAACAGGCAGACTGACGAAATACACTGCTGAGGGGAGCAGCAGGCACTGCAGAAGTCTGTCGCGCCATGTGAGACCCTTGCTGGTGGCTGGGGATCGAACCTGCGCTGCAGAGGCTGGGGGCAGCTTCGCAGCCCAGCGCTCAACTGCTGCGCCACCAGGGGAGGCCCTGGGTTAATTTTAATTTTTACAGATTGTCTTAGTGATTTAGAACAAATAACTTTTTAAACACAATTCATTTATTTCATTTTTATTTTTATAATTTACTTTATATAATTATAATTTCCTTTTTTTTAGAAGATTCATTTATTTAGGCATACAAGAACTAGGGTACGGGCCAGAGGTGTGGGGGGTGAGAGAATTCACCAGAGACAGAATGGGGAGCAGAACAGGCAGATGTACTGAAATACATTGCTGAGGGGAGCAGCGGGGAGACAGGAGAGGTCTTCTGTGCCATGTGGGTCAGCTCCTTGGCCGGGGATTGAACGCATGCTGTAGTGGCTGCTGATAGCTTCATAGTGCTGAGACTTAACGCCTGTGCCTGCAGGGAGGCCCCCATATTTTCCTGTTTTAAATCCTTTAGCCATTGATATCAATAGGGCACAACTTTTGTGAAAATCTTGACTATAGCAATTCAGCTTGGAATTTTGTTGAAATTAAGTCAGGGAAAATATCTGTTATAAAGCTTTTTATGAATTATACATTTGTCCAAGCCGAATACACAGACATCTCTAAATGCTGTCCTAAGTGATGTCTCTGTGTGTGTGGACGCATGTATGTGTGTGTATATGCATGTGTGTCTGAGTATATAGGCATATATATATGTGTGTGTTTGTGTGTGCATGTGCGTGTTCATATGTGTGTTTGTGTGATCAATTCCATGTTTCCATTTGGGGATTTCACCCACTTTCATAATGGAAATGGTGCTCAGGTACTTGCATGCTGAGAAATCTACCCAGTGTCCCAAACACCACTACTACACTCAATGTCCAACGTTTGGGAAGACATGTGGCCTGTACCTTGGACATCACCCCTTCAGCTGAAGTAGTCCATCTGATTCAGCTTTTATCTTATACTCCAGATTCAGAGCACTGCTTTTGTTTAGTTCTTCTCCTTTTCCACGGCCTTCCCTGGTCTGAGCTGGAGCGATTGCACTACGAGTGAACGGTTATACACTCGGGGTTTAAATGAACACAAACAATTAGCTGTGTTAATGACAATTACTGTGCTGAAAGAGCACTTCCATTATGTTCTCATCTGTTTAATGGCAATTTTCAAAATCTAAATATGTTTAAGGGGCATTTACATAGTATGTTTGATTAATTTTATGTTAACAGCAATTATCATAATTTAAATAAATTTGTAAGTCTGTGCTAGAAGCCCTTCCAAGAGGTTATCAAAGACTCTTTACACACAAAAGCAGATTTTATACTCTTTGAGGGTCAGTGTTTTATTTTTTTGAAGCAATACCTTAGACGATAGTCTCGGGATGCCTGTTATTTCTGTGTATCCAACCCAACTCCCCCACGTTTAACTGATTTGTCATGTAAATTTGCAGCTCAGTCCTGTGTTCATGAATCAGCCTAGGAACTGGTGCCTGTGTTCAAAGAACTCCATGTGAACAACCCCGGTTCCTAAAGTATTGGGTTTGCTGAGTTAACACTTGGGGCGAGTCCGTGTGTAGGTGCCAACACGGCTAGGAATCTACCCTCATGGAACTTCAAATTTGATGATGATTTTGACAAAATACAGAGTTAGAAAGCAATTGTTCCAGAACTGGAAGGCAAGAAAGGGTTTTAGAAATGTTCAGATCTTGGCTGATATCTGACTAGTGAGGAACGTGTCGGGGACCAGGTGAGGGCCAGAGATTGGCAGAGGCAGACTGCCGGGGACACCAGCTAGTGAATACCTCACCCAACCACCTCAGCCTTCAGTCTCTAAAAGAAATTAATGTGATTGGGGAAACAGGAGCTGATTCTTCCCCTTCACTTTTTCTGTCTGGATAACCAGCTTTACATAACTCAAAGATGGTGTCTATGGCTCCAACACTGTTGTATTGGGAAAAAACAGGAGCTGATCCTACAGTGTATCATCTACCTGTAAGTAGGTTGTGTTCAGTACTGCCCTCCAATCAACCAACACTTAAATGAAAATAAAACTATTGAAAAAATAGCTCTAAGTGATTATTTTGCAGTTTGACTATTTTACACATTTTGCAGTGTAATTTCATCATTTATTACATGAACGTTGAAAACAATTAAGCAGCACCAAAAAAGAGTATGCAATCAACAGTTCTTATTTGGTCCAACTCTCAAAGACAAGTGCTGGTCCAACTCTCAAAGACAAGTGTTGCCCCTTTCTCTGCATTCTCTAGATTACATATAGAAAGGTATGTGTGAATTATTCTTAAAACAAATGCTAGGTTATAATTTAGGCACGTTTTATGTCTAAGAAGACTGGATATCATTTCAGATCCTCACTGTTCTTTACTTCATGCTTCTCAGTGTTTAAAGAGCATTCATGAATGTTCTGTAATATTGTCATTCCCTATTAGAAGATATTTAAACTTTTTCCAGGATTTTGTAATTGCAAATTCTAACTCAATATACATCCTTGCCCACAAGTCTTTTTAAACATAGGTGGATGGATCTATAATCCTGAAGATTTTTTGATCAAAATATACAGGATTTGGTTTTTAATATTTGATAGACCTCATAACCTTTTTGTATACTTGTAATCATTGCGGTAACCATTGCCAGGATAATCAAAACAAGATCACAATGGTCAAAATAAGCCAGAGAGAAAAAGAAAAATACCAGATGGTCTCACTCATAGCAGGAATCTAGAAAATTTAAATAAGGGACCAGGAAAATGAATAACTATAAGAAAGTGAAAATCAAAATCAACAAAAAACTATGAACCAGAGACACTCTATGGGGGGTAGGGGGTGGGAGGGGAGGGGTTGGGGTCAAAATAAGGAGGTTGCAATTGTATGGGGAATATAAAAATAAAATTTATTATAAAAAAAATGAAGATCACAATGGTGAGTAAAGCTTAGAACAATCGTGAATACTATAGGTTATTTATTTGCTATGCCTCCAAAATGCTGGCCTCGGAGCTGTGTTCTGACATAAGTCAGCCTACCTGTGATGTGTGTGGGAAGCCCAGCTCTTCTGGCTGGCATGAGAGGACGCCATGCTCTGCAGAAGTTATTTCATAGCATCTGCATAATGGCCTAGGTAGTATATGCTGTTCTCTCTATTTCACAGATGAGAAAACTGTGAAATGCCAAGATCTCACAGGTATTGAGACTTAGATATTAAAAAGAATGATGACCACCCGGTTAGTCTCTGCATAAATTTTTGTCATGCATTTGTTGAGAACTGAATATATTTCCTTTTATTGACTTATCTACTCTATCAAATAAATAATTTGATGTACAAAATATGGGCCCACTTCTAGATTTCTTCTCTAGTATTGCTTTCCTTAATCATCGAATTTTATCTTTAAGCATTTCAGTGACTGTCAGTATGGAATTTCGGAATCTTCTTGAAATAGATTTATCACAGTCATTTCATCCTCATTCTGTGATGATCAATGTAACCGCCATCGACATGCCACTTCAAGAACTTTTTGTTAATTTTCTGGAGCATTTTAGTTTGTAATTAATTAATACTTCTTTGTATTCCTACACCTCTGTTGGCATAAATATTCTCCTTCCTCTCTGCCGTGGCATTCATGTTGCCCGACTACATAGGTGGATTCCATATTTTCCCAGAGTTTTATGCTTTATAAAGCAATCAAAACCACTCTTTTCTGTGTTCTTCCACCCTTTACTTCATATAAACCCATTCTTGATTCAGAGCTGTCCTGAGAAACAAATGATAAACGATATCCCTTCACCTTTTTCTACAATCAGCATTTTGGCCATGAAAGCACTGAGTTATTTTCCCCTTTTCTCACTTCCTAGGGAGGGTCTAAGATCTCTTGGATCATAAATTGGATTCCAGGTAGACTTTAAATTGTATCTTTAAATCTCCATTTGTCGTGCCCCAGTAAAGCTGTGGAGCCAAGATTTAAAACAAGTTCTGTCTACGTTCACAGAGTAAGTTCCCCATCCTCCATCCCCTCCTCCTATTGACCCTGTATCGCTCCCTCCCTTTATGTGTCCCCTCACCTTCCTGCTTAGCCCCTCTGTCCCTACTCTTCTCTCTCTTCCATTAACCAGGGTTTGAAAACAAGCAGCATGTTTTGTCGGTAGACTCTCTATAAAAATTGTCAGACACCTGATCACTGTACAAAGCAATAAAATGATTCTCTATCTCTAGGAGACCTTGTTCCCGGCTTCACAAAGAAAGAATGGCAAAGAAGAAAAAGAAGGAAGATAGACATTGCCTGAATAAGCTCTTGCCCAAGAGAAATGCTCAGATGTTTGAAATTTCAAGGGAAAGGCATCACCGATGAAAAATCCTCCCACACAATAAGCTGGTAGGAGAGATTGATGAAGGTGGGCTTCCGTGATTCATCGCCCTTAGCGATTTAGAGCCCAGCTTGGTATTCACCGAGAGACACATCTCTAGTTTAGGATGCGCTGAGTCAGCTGATACTTGCTCACACTGCTACTGAGAACGATGCATGAAAAATAAACTGTCTGCATGTGCCATTAGTAATGTGGAGAACAAGCCTGGTAGAATAAAGAAGAGGCAAAATCATCTCCTTAAGTCATTTTGTTGCTAGTTGAAATACAAACACTTAGTGTTGAATGAGGCAGAGCTGTTGACTTAGGGAGGATGAAGGGTAGACACATAAACGTCAGTCTCCAAGAATTTGAAGACTAGGGGGTACCGCCAGAGATTGTGAGGTCCAGATCACCCTTCCAGCAGGAAAGCTGAACATCATCTCACCTCCCCTACAGGGTAAGTCGGAGTCACAAAGACTGGGGGTTGCTAAGAACCATGTTCATCAACCTATGAAATGCACATGGTACAATGAAAAGTGCTCTCATTTGGAAAAGCAGTACTAAAAATCTTTCTTATCCTATAAATTCTAAGATTATTCAAAAGTGCTATACATGGCTAGACTATGATAAAAACTGTAAAGACTGGTAATAATGTTCTGCTACCTTTGGAAAATAGGACAGAGCAAAAAAAAAATATTAGTAATGACAAAGCAGAGAGCTACTTGGTACTGGTGAGTACCGATGGGTCAGAGTAGTGTATTTGTGTTTTACAAATAATGTCGGTGAAATACAGTGCTACATTTTATCAGTTATATTTCTGTGACTTCTCATTTTTGTCAGGAAAATCACCATGAGAATATAAAACAATAATATACGTTTGTTTACTCTTCCATTCTGTCACAAGATAATAGGATCAGGAAGCATTATTTTATGTGTTGGTAATTTGAACACCTGTGTGTGTGTATAAATTTTTTATTAAGTGGTATAGGTACACACATGGACACATGTGCACACTTGAGTTCGTAAATTACATGCCAGAGAAAACATGTGAAACCATATTCCTCTCATTTTTCCATTGGGTCTCTGAACTGATGTCTGATATCATCTAACCCCTATTCACCCTGTATGAGACTGCTGTACCCAAGCTATGTCATCATTATCATCATCACCACCACCATTATCATGATTAATATAAAGTTGATCTAAAACTTATTAAGAGCCAAAAACCACTAAAACATTTTAGATATATTCTATCAATTTTTCAGTGTATTTTAATGTATTGCACTTCAAATATCCTCCCTATAGTCATAAAGGAATATAACAGAAGAGCCTGTCAATATAGAAGCTATAATATCAAATCACCATATATAGTTTATAAAGCCTTCAGAATTCTACCTATAATAAATACAGTCATCCATTTTGCTTAAAAGTATCACAATGTTTAAACATAGTATAAAACAAAGACTTAATTTTCAAATAGGCTTGGATATTAATTGATGGGGACCCTCCATTAGTGGCAGTAGTTTATCTACCCTCTTCTATCTCTGCAAAAAACTGTACTTAGCTGTACTTGCATTGCAAATCATTTTTATCAACCCATTAAAACAGGCCCTCCATTAGACAATGGTTGGCCTGCTTTCATTTAGTTTGTCCATGTACTTGAATATTAAAAAATTATAGAAATAAATCATCTAGATTACTTTAAATAGTTTCTCATTCTAATGCATACAAAGAAATTCTATTTTGGGGGTTGGTTTCAGTTTAAATTAAAGGTTAGTTTACAAGTAGTACAGGGGTCTTCTTGTTAGGGAGTTTCTTTTTGTTCGGAAAATATCTCAATGGACATATTGATTATAAAAATAAACCCTATTCTGAGTCAACTCAAATACGGGCTCTTTTTAGACAAAAAGCATGTAATAGCTACTGCTGTTTTCCTCTGTAGAACCATCCTCAGTTTTTCTGAAAACATCCCCAGATATTTTGGGGTGGTCATAGGTGATTCACTTCTGTGATCTTGTTAATGTCTCATAGGAGCCTTGGCCATGGTCAGTACAATAAGAACCAGCTTCAGGACCTTATAGGTGATGCCAGAAGGTTTTCACTCTTCTCTGACCTTGAACACAGGAAGGTCACAAGCGAACTGTCCCCTAAGAATGGAGTCAACGGAGAAGAACCAGAATCAACCACGGAGAAGAAGGAGTTCCAGTCGCTGCTGGCAGGTTTGTGGCAGCTCTACATGGAATACCATGGTTAGGGAAGAGCATCCTACCTACTCTGTTGCTTGGGTCCACTTGATTTGGGTGTTCTGTCAACAGCAAAAGCTAACTCTGCATATTAAAATAGAGGGGATTTTGCATCTTCTCCTTAGTGTCTTGGGGAAACAGGACTTTAGTAGATTCAAACATGTGAAGAGGAGAAAGTAAAAAAAGAATAGACGCTTGGTGGGAAGAAAGGGGTTAAGTGATAAGGCTATGGGTGGCAACTGGAGAGATGCAAGATTTCTTGGAGCATAACAAGCCTGTGAGATGACATCTGTTCTGTGCCAGGCAGTCACCTCATTGCCCAAAATCTTGAATTTAAGGTGACCACACCCAACTACTTTATGTCTACCCCATGTGGCCTAGAAATAATCACTGATTATGGGGTGACTGAGAATTCAGTGATCTGGAATTCATGAAAAATTTTTACTGAAGGCACTCAAAATGGCACTGGACAGGTTTGGGGGTATCGTGTGAACTTTCCACCATACTTAAGAGGAGGACTTGTGCCATTTTGCCATAAAACAGACTAAATTCATATTTCAAAAAAAAAGCTTCTAATTTCCCTTTTTCAATATAAAATCAATTTAAACAATTATTTGATTTCATCAAGAAAGAAAAATAAGTCAACAAATTAAAAAATATTTAAGCGATTTTGCTACATTTAGCAACTATTGTCATATGATATTAAGAGGTGGCCTTTTTAAAATGTGTTCATTCATTCTGAACTGGGTGGATTTAAAGGTGTTTGCAGTGTCATCAATCTTTTGCACACTTCAATCTAAAAAAGTGAACCCAGACCAGGGTGTCCTGTATAACTCAGTCTCTTGTCCCAGGAGTAACAGAAATTGTGTAGAGAGCTGGCAATGGACTTAGGCATTTAAAGCTCAGCTTTCCTGACCGTGGGATGGCGCTAACTATACCACCTTGTGAAGTCAGGAGAAATGAGCCACAAGGTGCTCAGCCTGGTGGCCAGCGCAGAGGACATAGGATGCAGCTGGGCTACTGTTTTCTGGCTCTTCCTGTCACTACAGTCACTCCACCCTTCATGTCCTTGTCTTAGGCATAGGGTTTATAAATCGCGGATTGTGGAAATCTGGACTCCACTCCAAGCTTTATTATTGGCTACCTATGTGACCCCCAGTCTTTTGGACTTAACTCTCCTTGTAGCTAAAATGAGGGCTACCTGGCAGTCTCCTCCTGCCGGCCAGTTCTGAAATATTTGGGGGATTTCCCCGTATCTGCATATACTCTGGGTTAATACTTCTTCCCCTTGAAGTTGACGAATAGCCAACAAATATAAACAAAAAAGACATTTTGATACCTACCTGGGGTCTATTCCTTCATAGTGTGTTCTTCACATGCAGTGAGTTTCAGCCCACATATTTTCCATTCATGTGGGAGGGGTGAACACCTCAAACCCTCATGGCAAAAGAAGCCCAGCCCTGATTCTGGGGCCCCAGAAACCCAAATCCCTGTCCCTGTGTTTAGCAGCAATTTATTTGTGCTCTTGGTAAAAGCTCCCACTTTCCCTTCTGCCACCTCTAATAAAAAATGCTTTAGGCACACAGAGAAAACAGAGAGGAAGAGAAGGGAGTCTGGAGAAATTGGAAAAGCCAGGTTTATGTTAAATTAATTTTTGAGAAAGCCTTTTCCTTCAGAGTTTTTCCTATCCATTTTATGTCTGCCATCTAATCCACGCCCCTCCAATTCCTAGGCTTTAAATGAGAGGAAGGGTTAAACCTTTTACTGCTGAAGAAGTATTTATGAGTATTTACGTGCATTTAGTGAAGAGAGAAAATATTTTATTAGCAGACTGCTGCTGGGGAAAATTGATCCGCCTGCTTTATGTGAGAAAGTAAATGTGTCCCTTTAACCTAAAATTGGTGCATCAAACTCTACAAACTCCAATTATCTTGACAAAAATGATTTAACCAACCCCAGAACAATAGGGAGATTGAAGAGGAGGACTCTAGAGGCAGGAAAAAATACCTCGAGATCTAAGCCTTTGGCTCTTCAACAAATGAAACCTCAAAAGTGGATCCAGATAGCACCCGGAGGGTGAGCCTCTGGGGAGAAGGCCATGCCTCACAATTAGGAATAATAAAAATCTGTGCTGAGCAAAGACGTAGTTTTATTTTCAGAGCAGTGAGATAATTTCCATCTTCTTGCAAACAACAAGTGAGATCCCACGTCAACTACAGAGGACCTCCTTTGTCCCCAGAGAGCCTCCTCAGACAGGGTGCCCTATAACAACAGCTAAAGGAATGACTAATACAAAAATCAATACTGCACAAATTTGTGAAATGTTGACTGGAATTTGGCCTTACAAGCTATTTTTATATTGCTCCTATTTCTGTGTTTATGTTTTTATAAGTTCTCCAACCTTGGTTGCCAGCGAAGAGCGAGTGGTGCCCACTTACCACAGACCAGGCCAGCTTGGACTTAGCCTCCCTACTCTGGGTCAGTGTCATTTCTCTGTTTCCCTTCCTTGATGGGCAGCAACAATGATTTTTTGGGTATTTAGGCCCATGAAAGCTCTCCTATGGATGTCACAGCCGTTTAAAGTTTGGATTCGTTATGGTAGGGGTACACAGGAACCCACCTTTACACCTCTGGCTTCCTCTAGGCTGGCAAACAATCAAAAAAGCATCAGATGGATTGAGAAGAGGAACTGCAGAGAGATTTCCACCTCCTATACAAGTGGGAGGCCCCAGCAGGTTTGAACACCTCTCCCACATGGCTTCAGACACATCCTCAATAGCTTAGCTGAGACGGGGATTGGGGACAGATGGCAGACAAGGGAAGGTCAGTTAGGGAGGCTGCCAAGGAAGACACAGCAAACAAAAGTGGTGCAGATTTTAAGTTCTTTTTTTAAAGATTTATTTTTTTATTTATATAAAAAAATAGGGTGGGGGCCGAGAGGATTCACCAGAAACAGTGGATTCACCAGAGGATTCACCAGAAACAGTGGAGAGCAAAACAGGCAGACCTACTGAAATACACTGGTGAGGGGAGCAGCGGGGAGACAGTAGCAGTCTGCTGTGCCATGTGGGTCAGCTCCCTGGCCAGCCTGGAATCGAACTCATGCTGCAGTGGTTGGCAATAGTTTGATAGCACTGTCTTTAACCCCTGAGGCACCAGGGAGGTCCCAGGTTTTAAGTTCTCACTTCTTCATTGAAAATAAAAGATTAGGTCTTTTCCCACAATGACATATATTGGGGTGGCATATTTTTTGCTCCCCGATGTTATCAACTAGTAAAATGCAGCCAATTCTCTGTATACATTCTGATTGTTTAACTTCTCAAGAGCCTCTCTCATGATGTGGAGGCTGTTGTGGTAATAATGGGTGTTTGCATTGAGCATCTTCTGCCTCAGGACGTGGGGTTAAGGGCCCCACCTTCCTACCAGACTCATTGTGCTGCCTTGTGTTACTTCCCTAGGTTCTGTAGACATGGAACTTCCCCACATACCCAGTGAGGCTTTGATCTATCCACAAACTCCTGAGCTAATCCTGTCAATGAACAGGGTGCTCTGGCCCTTGTCTGCTAACAAACATGGCGGGAGTGAGGCAGCGTCCTAGAGAAGCCAGTCCAGGCAACTTCCCTGCATCGTCTCCATGGTGATGCCTGCTTTTTCAGGATGGTACTTTGTCAATTAATATACCTAAGAGAATAAGAAATAAAACATACCCACTAAAGGGCTGATTAAGAGGGTTTTGTTTTCCAAGGGGACTTGCTCTCCATCACACCGCTCTACTCTCTTAAAAGACCAACCAAATCCTCTGCTTCTCCTTGAGACTCCACAATTACATTTGCTTATCTCCAAGTGCCAGTGCTATTTAGACTTTCATCATATTTTTACCTTTGTTAAAAATGCCAAAGATTCCAACAGAGCTTTGTTGGGAGTTTTTTATTGTTAGTATTCATCAACTCAGAAAATTACCCCTTTTCTCTCATTTTTGAGTCAAAAATCCACCAAATGAATCGCATGATAAAATCATGAATTATGCTATGATTCCTTACTTTTAGCAGTTGCTATTTTAGAAGTTCCCAGGACGATAGCCCTCTTTCATGTCACTCCTAAAGATGTTGGTATTGAAATTGTTTATGTTGATAGAGCACTTGGTGAGTCTTCTTGAAAATGGGACAATTGTCCAAAAATTGCTTTCCAATGACCCCTAACTCAGAGATTTTATCTTATCTTTCCCCAAACAATCAATATTTAATCCTTCTCATTTTGCCAGCTTTCATGGTTTCTATAGTTGAACATCTATCGGCTGTTTGGAGAAGTATCCATCACTCAACACATACCCTGAGTATAAACAGGACCTAGAATAGAGAGTTTCACTATGGTTAGGCCCTCAAAGTTCAAGTTTTGAAAATACTCATCAAAACATTTTAGGCAAGAACACATGCACACACACACACACACACAAAGCAGGTCTGATGATTATTCTCTGGCATGAGAAGAAATTCTCATTAATATATGCCTTTTCAGGGCCTCCCCAGTGGCACAGCAGTTGAGCTCTAGGTGGCGAAACTGCCCGCAGCCTCTGCAGCGCAGGTTCGATCCCTGACTGCTGGTGAGGGTCCCACATGGCGCGCAGACCTCTCCTGCCACGCTCACTGCTCCCCTCAGCAGTGTATTTCATCAGCCTGCCTGTTCTGCTCCCCACTCTGGCTCTGGTGAATTCTCTCACCCTCCCGTGCTTCTGACTGTACCCAGTGCTTGTATAAATAAATAATCTTAAAAAAAAAATGTGCCTTTTCAGAACATTTCCAGTTGGAAAGTTCCTCTTTTTTT